GAGTTTCGCTAGTTAATTTCGGTAATGATCCATCTCGAAAACGATAGAGACGATATTTGCTTAATTTTAAGCGACGTCCAAGTGCTAATCTCTTCCAGAAGCTTCGAGTGTTTTCTCGGTAATAACAAGCGGAAGGTTGTTACACGATAAATACGATTTCATGGGACTTCTTTAACTACATGGGATATCAAATATTGACATTAAAACGAAAACGATTCCGTGGCAAATTCTCTCGAATACGAGAAAATTTCGCCATTCAAGATCATCGTGGACATACGCGACTTAATGAAATCCTTCGGTTAAGGATGTCTTATCATAAGTCGTCGAGAAACGTGTAATTTGTTTTGCGTCCTACATGCTGCGTCGTCGTAAGACGACACGTATAAATTACTAATAAATTTCTAACTCCTTGAATGAACAATCATTCCTTAATGAACAATTATAAATAGAAAATAATCGTTTCTAATCAACCGCTGTATAAAATCGCTTGATTAATTCGCGCAATGAAATCCATAATTTATAATAATGTTATAAAGGATGAATAATAAGCGAGAATATATTATAGGATAATGTAATAATTGGAAAATAATTTTTTTCCTTTCGAAGAAATTACACGATAAATCGTTATTCATCGGGAACGAGGGAATACGAAATGTCGTGTCTAACTCTGACGACACGATCGAAGCCTAACAATTATCAATCACGCGTAATTAACGCGGATAATTTCTCGAAACGAACGGGCGAAATTTCCATCTTGTTACATGTGATCGTCGAGTCGATTTTCCGATAAATCGTTAACCGTAGCAGTTCTAATAAAAGAAACGGTGTGAGTGCCGCTTAATGAACGGCTACCTATTGCACTTGAGTCATCCAACATTTGAATTATCAACGATAAATAACGCGAAAGTAATTTCAACGCTATCATCATCAACCTGGAGGACGATTTCTTATTCTCTCGGTGGCGCGAATCTGCCTGGTTTATTATTATTATTATTATTATTATTTCCTTCTTTTTTCGCGGGATACAATGTTCGAATAATGCAATAAATACGGTTATTACGAGCGTCAGGCAGGCATTTGTAACCGGTATTAATGACCGGTCGAACCAGAGGCGAGAAATTAAAGGTCGACACGGAGAGTGGAAAGCTGCGTGGCGCCTTTTCGACCAATCCCGCGCGAGCCTGTTGTACAAATGTACAAATGTTGCCACTTACCTCGAGAGCGGATCGACGAACAGGGCGACGATGATGACGGCGACTATTACACAAGACAGATAGATCGCAGATATTTCATAGATCTCCGATTCCGGAGGACGTTCCAAGGTCTCGTGACCACCGTTCCCAAGGACGCAGAAATTTGCGCCGCAGTGCTTGATCTTGTTCGAGTTGGTGGTGCTGTTCTCGCTGCCACTGCCGAACTCTCCCCCGCTGAGCACTTTAAAAAAAAAAAAAGAAAATTTCGTGTGATCGAAGAATTATGAAGATTCGGAAGGAAATACAATTTATTCTGTGTGTTGTTTTCCTCGTATTGTATCTCGTGTTTCTTTTTCATTTATTCGATCATTTTCCTCCTTTTGTCTATTTTCAAAAATTCGTTGTTTTATAATAATTTTGTCGTTACGATAACCTAATGGATGTACAAATAATTAATGGAGCGAATATAGGATATTTTTATTATTATACCTCGATATTATAAACTGTGACACTTATTAATGATACCACATTTATCGAAAATCGAATTCTATTACGTACATTTTTCTTAAAATACGCGTTACATAAAATTCATGTTAAAGGCATGCGAGACCCTAAACAAAATGCAATCTTATCGCACCGTAAGCATAAATCTCTCAAGGATTTATCAAGATTTTTTCCTTAACTTTGCAGGCGATCAAGCTTGCAATATGTACGCAACAGTTTGTGCATCCGATTACGATCTATCGGCCATCCGTGTCATTCGATATTCACCACGTTTAAAAGCATTTAAAAAAATTTCGCAAGACGCGACACGCGTGATAAAACCGAAAAGGTTAAAGATAGAGGAAATGTTCCTTTCGTTCCTCCTCCCTCAAAAAAAAAAAAAATCCGACTCGTCGATCGATAATAAATCGTGAGAGATTTCACCATATTCGTTGAAAAAAAAAAAAAAAAAAAAAAAAAAAA